CGGTCTGTTAGTGCTTGGGTGGACCAAGAGGGCAATGCTAAATGCCCCGGGTGGCCAGAGTTGGCATGGAAAGGGGGAAGATGTGGGAATTCAGAGGTCAAAAGGTACAGTCCAACAGGGTACTGCTCCCTGGGACTATTCTGGCTAATGTGGCTGCTAGCGGTGGAGCTGGGGCTGCAAGAACGAAGGCTTGGCCAAGGCCAGAGCTGAAAAGACACCCAGACCCATCCTCAGAGCAGGGCAATTTCTAAGCAGCCTCTCTGGCAAGGGCAGGTCTAACCAGGAGAAGGGATGCCAGCACATACGAGCTATCCAGGATGAGCAACGGCAGGGAAGGCATCCTTGAGCCAATTCCGCACTCAGTTATAGGATCAGCAAGAGACTCCCGGGGGAAACGGCAGCTCCTCTGTTCCCTGACGTCCTCAAGTCAAGCCTGGACGCCTCCCGGGAAGCGGTGCTCTCACGTCCCTGCATTAGCAGGTCAGATGTTGCCGCCAATGTCCCCAAATGGTCTGGCCAGCCAGAGCTTTTGGGCTCTAACATCAGTTGGTGATGCTCACAGTCAAGCTTTTCATCTTGGAGATAAACCAGGTTTCAGGGGAAAAAATGCGTACGCATATCTCATCCAGCGTCTTCAACACTTGGCTTGTCTGGACCTACCACGTTGCATGTGTTTCCTTCAGGCTGGAAGAATTTTAATTACAATTTCTACCGAGAACAGACGTGCTGTCTGGACTTATCCTTCAATGTAGAGACAACATCAGTGCCTATGGACAAGGAAGCACATCTCACCCAGAAATGGAGAACCTCCAGTGCTCTTGAGTAATATGGCCCTAAAAGTGCAATCATGCAGATGACACGCTTGAGAGCAACCACCTCCCCCAGCCCACCACCTGCAGTTAGGCTTGTTCTCGGGGTGACACGTGACCTGAAAATGACCCACTGCATCATTTTCAAGCAGGGCCAGAAGCTGGTGACACGATGGCCTAGTAGGACTCGAGCCCATACATCACTCCAAGAGGCTTAGCCTGCATTATTTATACCGAGCTGGCCGGGCAGCCTTTCTCCAAGCCTGCCTTGCCTCGCTCGGTCAAGGCAAAAGCAACCAGCTCCATGTCTCCAACTGGTTCTGGGGGAAGAGGGACCAATCCTGCCATCGCTTGTGCCCACACCAACAAAGCCGTGACCAAGCACAGCCTGAGCTGAGACAAACTCATTTTGGGATGCCCCAAGCCTGTCATCCTGCTTCAGAAAGGGCCTGAAACCTAACGAGCAGCCCTGATCTCCACCGGTCGGTGGAAGCGGTAAAACCTTGTCCTGGCCACCACCCCACCCTGGAGCACCAGGATGGGTGAGGGATGCTGCAGCCAGGGGATATTTCTGCTCTAGCGCTGACCCAAGCCTGGCCTGTGCCAGCAGCGATGGCCAAGCCCTTCCCTCCTGGAGCAATGCAGGAGGCCAAACTCCTGCTGCTCAGAAATGCTCCTTTGCTGCCACGTCCCAGGACCTCATGGGCTGCACACCTTGGCCTGATGTGGTAAGGGAAGATACGAGTTGCTTTATGGATGGGCAACAGGCTGTAGGAATTGCCCAAGGTCCTACAGGAGACGAGTGGTCCTAACCGTGGGCTTTTCCCTGTCACCGGCAGGGCTCAGTCCTTTCACTCTCCTCAGGCGTCCTCCGTTTTGCGATCCAAAATCCCAGAGCAGCTCTGGAGAGCTGGGTCACAGAAAC